TATATATATATATAAACGCATTCGCTTACTACATCGAGTTTTTAAAAAATGCGCGTAAAAAATTATAATAATAATTGGAGAACTCTAACTCCTAATTCGGAAAAGGTATAAATCTGCGTCACAAATTACCACCGAGACACCTACAGATTCGCCAATCGTCGCGTTGCCTCGGAGTGCCTAATCCTCGTAGGGTGGGTGATAGGGGCAGTTGGTGGGCAGGACGCAGAAGGGGAAGGCCGGGTCGGGGTTGAACAAGAGGTCTCCCGTGCAGGTGTAGACGCCCGCCTCCTGGCCCACGGTGTCGCAGTAGAAGAATTCCTGTTCGCAGATATTGCACTTGGCGACGGCCCCTATGACTGTACACAGGAGGCTGTCCACGCACCCGGCCGTCGACGTTTCCATGGTTGTGGATGTCACCGAAGGCGATGGCGTGAGCGTGGGCGTTGTGGAGGGGCTTGGAGTCAGTGTGGATGGAATGGATGGACTTGATGAAAATGTGGTTAGAGTTGGTGTCAGTGTGGATGGGTTGGACGGATTTGGTGTCAGTGTGGATGGGTTGGATGGATTTGGTGTCAATGTGGATGGGTTAGATGGATTTGGTGTCAATGTGGATGGGTCAGATGGGTTTGGTGTCAGTGTGGATGGGATGGATGGATTTGGTGTCAGTGTGGATGGGTTGGACGGATTTGGTGTCAATGTGGATGGGTCGGATGGGTTTGGTGTCAGTGTGGATGGGTTTGGTGTCAATGTGGATGGAGTGGATGGATCTGATGAAACTGTGGTCGGGTTGGATGGATTGGATGTTAGTGTGGAGGGTGTAGAGAGTTCAGTTGAGATGGGTGTGGACGGATTTGGTGTCAGTGTGGATGATCCAGTTGGGCTGACGGTGGAACCTCCACAAAGTATTACGCAGGAGGCGCCGCTGTCACACCGTCCCGTGACAAAGTTAAAGTTCTGTCCCGCGTCACACGTGAAGTGGTATTCCTCGGACGCGAGCCCTGGCTCCAGGCAGATGTAGTACTTGGTGCAGTCCGTGGGGTCCGGCACCTGCGTTGCCGCCGCCTCGCAGAAGGGCGTGCACGGGTCGGAGCAGCAGGCGTCCTTGTCGTCCACGCAGCTTTCCCCGTTGAAGTACGGGGCTCCCGCGGGGCAGCCGAAAGGACCCTCCAGCCCGTGAGGGAGGCACACGAAGTATTGGCTGCAGCTCGACGGATCGCTGACTAGGTCGTACGTACCGTTGCACGTGAAGTGGCAGTTGGGGACGGTCGCCGGGCACTGATCCGTGCAGCCACTCCCCGGCTGGCACTCATTTAGCGTGGTATCGAAGATTTCACCCGGGTTGCACCAGAGCGGGTGGTCGGTGGGTACCTCGCCGTTAAGGCAGAGGTAGTACTGCGTGCAGTTCTTGGGATCGGGAACCTTGCTGCCCGCGGGCTTGCCGGTGCAGTCGGGACTGCACTTGTCTACACACAGGACGCCAGCCACACACACGCCCTAAGAAATCACAATTATACTATATGCACTGGGTCAAATAATCGGGAAATATATTTGGCACACATCAAACATATAATCTTCACCACATTTACAGGGCATAAATCTATAAACCTACATGAGCTTCTCTCTGACAGAATAGCTTCTACCCATGTCTCTCGGAACAATGAGTCAGGAACAACCTACCAAGAGGACGATCGCCTTCTGCACTGGGTTCAGCATCACTTATTTTCTCGAGTTGCGGTGTGAGAGGAAGGTTCGATCTCACTTCTATGGGGGACTTGATTCCATCGAGTTTTATAGGCCAGCGTTATCATCAAAAGTGACGTGCCGGTAGTGTTTCGAAATCTTTGGGCACGTTTTCAAATTATTTCATTTCTGGCTTCTCTCTCAGTGCCTGTACCCCTCATTTTTATCTGTTCTTTCTATATATCTATCCATCTATCTATCTGTTTATCTATCTGTCTATCTATCTATCTACCTACTCTCCCTCTATCTATCTATCTATTTATTTATCTACCTACTGTCTCTCTCTCTCTCCCTCTCCCCCTCCCTCTCCCTCACCCTCCCCCCTCCCTCTCCCTCACCTTCCCCCCGTCCCCCCCCCTCTCTCTCTCATTAACCTGCCTTGTTATTCTTGAAGATTATCCTGAAATGATTCCCATACTAAGATAGCGCGCCGCTCAGTAATTTGGCAAAACTGTATCCGGTTTTGCTTACCCATTATTTATCTTTATCCCAAATCTTTTAACTATAAACGATTTTCACATCGTGTGTCGTGAAACCCATATAAAACAAATGTAATAATGATGGTGATTGCTGAAGAGGATGATGATGATAATATGAATAATAATATACTTCACATTCAAAACAAATATATATATATACACTGCGGTCTCTGAAAGATAAAAAACCAAGGGCATCTGGTTCATTAAAAAAAAAAAAAAACAAGCGTGGTATTTTTAAAGGATTATGAGGTAGTTAAGTCATATTCAACGCCCTGATATAAGCCAACATCAGGTATGTTGTTTTCTTGAGCATCTTCGCTTTGCATTTACTTTTCAACCCGATCACTTCCTGCACTCGTCAAGATATATAACTCCTTTGATCTTGTTCTCCTCGAAGACATATGGTCATTCTAAACATCTTGTTTTCATTTCTTTGATTTCGACTTTGACCCTTTTCATACATCTGCCTTAGTCTTCTTTCTACTCTCCTCTCCAACCTCGTCTTTCATAGTTATTTCCCTCACTTTGTCGTAGAATGGGAAAAGGGTGAGATGCGCTTTCAGATTATGCCTAAATCTTGATATACATGATACTGAGTGCTCTGTGTCACATGGTAAAATGTATTAGATTAGGAAGGTGCCAACCGTTGTCGCCACAACAGGTTCTTGATAGTGTTACATTAGCATGGAAGTGTTGGCTGGCCCTTCAGTTTATTCGTTATGTAACACTTCCGATTGGTTAATGACCCTTTCTGGAGTCACTAATGATATAATTATAATTAATATCATGTTCATTACTAGCTATCACATTTGTACCTGTGTAAGTATTATTTGTGTTATAATTTTCATTACTATTAATTTTTAATAACTTCTTAAATGTTATTACATTTTCCTACAACCATCTTTCAAGATGTCATTTTCATGGAAATCAGCTATGAATGTGTTAATATATATATATATATATATATATATATATATATATATATATATATATATATATATATATATATATATATATATATGAGATAGAATAATGAAATGATATTGATAAATAACAACCCTCCCTGACCAGAACTCGAACCCAGGTCACTCTGGGTATGAAACAGGTGGGCCAGTACTAAACTTACCATAACACACGACTCACTAAAAGGAGTGTGTAACCAGGATCTCACTAGCTACATAGACATTACCTATCTATTCACACTAGAGTAATGATAGCAAAGTTTTACATACACTCCCCGTGGGCACTCGATGGATATTGATTTAACAATAATAATAATGATGATGATAATAATAATAATAACAATAATAAAATAAAAACAATGATGATAATAATCATAATCATAATGTAGTGTGATCTCCGCGAATACCAGGGGTCCCGTCCCAGTTCATCAAGTCATCTGCCCTCCCTTGACGCTGGCGAGGGATACAGGTGCAAAGGACCTGGTTAACCCCTGTTAATTCGAATTCCCTTAAGCGGTTGCATGGGGAGGAATTCTAATAATTTATATGGGTTTGTTCCAGCATGACAATATCTTTCTGATGTTCAGCCTAACCATAAAATACTAAAATTGACCAAGAGAAAAGAAATCCTAAAATGTACGGAAGGTAAAAGCATATGCTGAAGGCATGTAAAATATTAAGAATACCGAAAACCAGATGAAAAGGGGAAAACTAAAGTAAAACAATAAAAGCAAATAAAAACGGGGAAATCAAACAAAATAAAACGAAACAAGACGAGTGACAGGTAGCAACCAGACCTCCGGCATGGGCAGCCAGAACGGGAGAGCAGACCACCTTACAATAATAACAATAATAAGTATTACAATAATAATGATAATAATAGTAATAACAATAATGATAATAATGGTAATAATGATAATGATAATAATAAAAATATTGATACTGAAGATAATGATAATAACAATAACGTGAAATCTTCGACACCACGCTAAATGAGTGCCAGCTGGGGACCAACTGCACGGATCAGTGCCCGGCGACCGTCCCCAACTGCCACTTCACGTGCAACGGTACGTACGACCTGGTCAGCGATCCGTCGAGCTGTAGTCAGTATTTCGTGTGCCTCCCCCACGGGCTGGAGGGTCCTTTCTGCTGCCCCGTACTTCAACGGGGAAAGCTGCGTGGACGACAAGGGCACCTGCTGCTCCGACCCGTGCACGCCCTTCTGCGAAGCGGCGGCGACGCAGGTGCCGGACCCCACGGACTGCACCAAGCCAGGGATCGCGTGCGAGGAATACCAATTCACGTGCGACGCGGGACAGAACTTCAACCTTGTCACGGGACGGTGTAACAGCGGCGCCTCCTGCGTAATACTTTGTGGAGGTTCCACCGTCAGCCCAACTGGATCATCCACACTGACACCAAATCCGTCCACACCCATCTCAACTGAACTCTCTACACCCTCCACACTAATATCCAATCTATCCAACTCGTCCACAGTTTCATCAGATCCATCCACTCCATCCACATTGACACCAAACCCATCCACACTGACACCAAATCCATCCAACCCTCTAGACATCAGTAACTGTGGTTGATTCATTCACTTGTTGCAGTTCTCATGTTCACAATCTTGGTTCAGTGTCTTAATTTGTCTGTTTTAGAATAGTCGTTGCACATTACCGTTTAACTGTTTTGTTGTTGTTGATAATGATGATGCTGTTGTTATTCACTAAATACTGTTTCTTTATCTGTCTTCGTTAAGTTAGATTTCAGTAGGTTATGCCAATATTTTTTGTATACTTGAATAAAAAAACATGTATCGGATATTCTTCTTTTATTTGGCTTTAATTTTTAAAAAGTATGGTGTCTAAAACATGGGTACCATGTATTTTCATACACAGATATACGAACGAACACACACACCTATAGATTCGCACGTAAAAATAGTAATAATTGGAGAACTCCTAATTCCTAATTCGGAAAAGGTACAAATCTGCGTCACAAATTACCACCGAGACACCTACAAATTCGCCAATCGTCGCGTTGCCTCGGAGTGCCTAATCCTCGTAGGGTGGGTGATAGGGGCAGTTGGTGGGCAGGACGCAGAAGGGGAAGGCCGGGTCGGGGTTGAACAAGAGGTCTCCCGTGCAGGTGTAGACGCCCGCCTCCTGGCCCACGGTGTCGCAGTAGAAGAATTCCTGTTCGCAGATATTGCACTTGGCGACGGCCCCTATGACTGTACACAGGAGGCTGTCCACGCACCCGGCCGTCGACGTTTCCGTGGTTGTAGATGTCACCGAAGGCGATGGCGTGAGCGTGGGCGTTGTGGAGGGGCTTGGAGTCAGTGTGGATGGAATGGATGAAAATGTGGATAGAGTTGGTGTCAGTGTGGATGGGTTGGACGGATTTGGTGTCAGTGTGGATGGGTTGGATGGATTTGGTGTCAATGTGGATGGTTTGGATGTTAGTGTAGAGGGTGTAGAAGGTTCAGTTGAAATGGGTGAGGACGATCCAGTTGGGCCGACTGTGGAACCTCCACAAAGTATTACGCAGGAGGCGCCGCTGTCACACCGTCCCGTGACAAGGTTGAAGTTCTGTCCCGCGTCACACGTGAAGTGGTATTCCTCGGACGCGAGCCCTGGCTCCAGGCAGATGTAGTACTTGGTGCAGTCCGTGGGGTCCGGCACCTGCGTCGTCGCCGCCTCGCAGAAGGGCGTGCACGGGTCGGAGCAGCAGGCGCCCTTGTCGTCCACGCAGCTTTCCCCGTTGAAGTACGGGGCTCCTGCGGGGCAGCCGAAAGGCTCCAGCCCGTGGGGGAGGCACACGAAGTACTGGCTGCAGCTCGACGGATCGCTGACCAGGTCGTACAAACCGTCGCACGTGAAGTGGCAGTTGGGGACGGTCGCCGGGCACTGATCCGTGCAGCCACTCCCCGGCTGGCACTCATTTAGCGTGGTATCGAAGATTTCACCCGGGTCGCACCAGAGCGGGTGGTCGGTGGGTACCTCGCCGTTAAGGCAGAGGTAGTACTGCGTGCAGTTCTTGGGATCGGGAACCTTGCTGCCCGCGGGCTTGCCGGTGCAGTCGGGGCTGCACTTGTCCACACACATGACGCCGGCCACACACACGCCCTAAGAAATCACAATTATACTATATGCACTGGGTCATATAATCGGGAAATATATTTGGCACACATCAAACAGATAATCTTCACCACATTTACAGGACATAAATCTATAAACCTACATGAGCTTCTCTCTGACAGAATAGCTTCTACCCATGTCTCTCGGAACAATGAGTCAGGAACAACCTACCAAGAGGACGATCGCCTTCTGCACTGGGTTCAGCATCACTTATTTTCTCGAGTTGCAGGGTTGCAGTGTGAGAGGAAGGTTCGATCTCACTTCTCTGGGGAACTGGATTCCACCTAGCTTTATAGGCCAGCGTTATCACCAAGAGTGACGTGCCAGTAGTGCTTCGAAATCTTTGGGCACGTTTTCAAATTACTTAATTTCCGGCTTTTCTCTCTGTGCCTGTACCCCTCATTTTTATCTGTTCGTCTCTTTCTATATATGTCCATCAACCTATCTGTTTATCTATCTAGCTGTCTAGATATATGTCTATCTATCTATCTACCTACTCTCTCTCTCTCTCTCTCTCCCCTCCCTCTCCCTCTCCCTCTCCCTCTCCCTCACCCTCTCCCCAACTCTCTCTCTCATTAACCTGTCTTGTTATTCTTGAAAATTATCCTGAAATGATGATTCCCATACGAAAATGGCGAGCCCCGCTCAGTAATTTGGCAAAACTGTATCCGATTTTGCTTACCCGTTATTTATCTTTATCCCAAATCTTTTAACTATAAACGATTTTCACATCGTGTGTCGTGAAGCCCATATAAAACAAGTGTCAAACTCATTCAATAATGGTGGTGATTGATGATGATGACGATCATGGCAGTATGAATAATAAGATGGTCAGCGATATACTTCACATTTAAAACTAATATATATATAATGCGGTTTGTGAAAAATAAAAAGACCTTTTCCTAAATTCCTAAGTTATTCGTAGGTCATCTGGTTCATAAAGAAAACAAGCGTATGATATATGGGGTATTTTTAAATCTTAGCTGTGCATTTATTTTTCAACCCAATCACTTCCTGCACTTGTCAAGATGTATAATTCATTTGATCTTGTTCTCCTCGAAGACATATGGTCATTCTGAACATCTCATTTCCTTATTTTCGACTTTGACCCTTCTCATACATCTGCCTTAGTCCTCTTTCTACTTTCCTCTCCAACCTCGTCTTTCATAGTTATTTCCCTCACTTTGTCGTAGAATGGGAAAAGGGTGAGATGAGCTTTCAGATTATGCCTAAGTATTGATATACATGATACTAGGTGTTATGTGTCACATGGTAAAATACATTAGATTAGGTTAGTATATATGCCACGTACAATATTGATGATCAGTCTTTGAGTAATAAATTGAAAGTGTTGGCTGGCCCTTCTGTACATTCGTTATGTAACACTTCCATTTGGTTAATGACCCTTTCTGGAGTCACTAATGATATATTAATCATTAGCATTATGTTCATAACTGGCTATCACATTTGCACCTGTATAAGTATTATTTGCGTTATAATTTTCATTAATACTCATTTCTAATAACATCATAGATGTTATTACATTTTCCTACAACCACCTACAACCATCATTCAAGGTGTCATTTTCATGGAAATTATCTATGAATGTGTTGTTATATATATACATACATACATATATATATATATATATATATATATATATATATATATATATATATATATATATATATATATATATATATATATATATATATATGCAATGCCGCATTGATATCGATAAATAACAACCCTCCCTGCCCAGGACTCGAACCCAGGTCACTCCGGGTATGAAACCGGAGGGCCAGTACTAAACTAGCCATACCGCACGACTAACTAAAAGGAGTGTGTAACTAAGATCTCACTAGCTGCATAGACATTACCTATTACTCATACTAGAGTAACGATAGTAAAGTTTTACACACACTCCCCTTGGGCACTCGGTAGAAATTGATTTAACAATAATAGTAATAATGATGATGATAATAATGATGATAACAATAATAATAACAATAATAGAATATAAAACAATGATAATAATGATCATAATCACAATGACAATGACAACTACGTATAGTACTACGATAATAATGATAATAATAGTAATAACAATAATTATAATAATAGCAATAATGATAATGATAATGATAATAACAATAATGATACTGATAATATTGATAATAACAATGATGATAATAATGATAGTAATAATAATGATGATTGTAGTGAATTTCCTCTGGCTTCAGGCGGGTCCGTGTTTTTATTCCCTTTGACTTGCCTTTGCATCTACACTATTTCTACTACACATGGCACTACTTACCCTGTGTTCCATACTTACCTTGTCTTATTCTTGCCATTTTGCCTTCGATTAATTCACCTTAGCTTTGTTTCTCTCTTCGTGTTTTCCCGTTTTCCCTCACGGATCCCTTCTTTCACTTTTTCATACTTTCCTGTCGTTTCTTTCTTTTATGTGCCCCTTTTTGTGTAGTTTTATTATTCTTTTTATTTCATGTATTCTTAAACTTATTTTAAACTCACCATACACTATTTGATAAATTAAACCAACTGCATTATGGGTAAAAGATGACCAAGCGCGGGAAGCCACCAGTATAAAAGGTCAAGCCAGGTTGGTCAGAGAGAGAGAGGCTTTTAGCTTCTGTGGTGACTGACCGTTGGATTTTTAGCTGGCCGACTGGTGCTTCTCTTGCTGTGGTGGGTTGCCTCTGTTGTAAGAAAGATTTGTGCGTAATAAATGTATTATATGCTCTTTTTCTGTTGCTTTTTTAGTCAGTCAGTGATGTTATTTTATTGTTCTTTTTATTGTGACTACGGGATCACTTTCAAATCACCTAAGGGTCATCACCAAAATACGCCAAACCCGTATGGAGATTACCTGTAGTTGGGCAACACGCTACCAAACTAACGACTCAAACTCTACGGAGTTTGATTATCCGCTATGAGCCATGAGGATCATTCTTGGTGCCCCTAGAACCACAAGGATTGTGAATATGAGAACAGAACTTAATTTGCCATCTGTTTATGAAAGAATATTATATATAAATACCACATTTAGTGTCAAATCAATTAGAGAACCCCTACATTGTGCAGAGTTCCAAATACAACTAAACACAGAATAGGAGAGCTAACTTTGAATAACAACACCGATTCATACTCAAATCCATGGGTACAAGTAACGTGGAAACACTAAGCTCAGCTGAACATACCCATAACCACCGTGGAAAATGTCGGACTTAAGTGTATATTATACGACTGCCCCCCAAAAAAAGACAGAAAAGACAAAAAAGACTATACTATACTTAAACAGCATGCACTTGCAATTATAAATGAACATCTAGAAACTCCAATGCATATAAATGCTACACTGACGGATCCTTGCAGTCTGGGAGCAGAGCAGGATGCGATTCTGTTGTATATAAAAACAATATTTTGCAGCATCAGGATTGTAGGAGGGTTCATGACTGGGCTAGCACTACGCAAACTGAGTTGGCAGGAATACTCATGGCCACCGAATTTCTATTGAATCTAGGCTCAAGGGTCATTTTCTGCGATTCACAGAGTGCTCTCCAGGCTCTGAACACTTTAGACAAAGATGCGGGAAATATTGCAAATGACATCAGGATAAACGTGTATCGTGCAAAAGAACGAGGCCATAATATACGTTTTGTGTGGATTCCATCGCATGTTGGAATCCCTAGGCTTGATCATGCTGATCGCCTAGCAAAGTCAGTATGTGACAAACAAAGTGTGGATATAGACTTGGGATGCCTCTTTCTAGGATTTTAGACATCATTAAAGCTTCCTTCAAAGAGGACTTGAATGAGTTGATTAATTTTCAACGCCCTGAAAGCTGTAGCATAAAGCACTAGGACATATTTAGGCAAGATCCACTAATCTATGGTTCATATAAAACAAGAACAAGACAGTGTTATGTTGTGACTGCAAGAATCAGGCTTGGATATAGATTGTATTGGCAGGTCAGTACAGTTTGTAATGTCAAAGAAACTAAGTGTAAACTGTGTACTGAAGAATATGAGCGAACACTTGTACATTATATCTCAGAGTGCCATGTGTTACAGCCTTTCAGACCACCTAGCATGAGGTACGGAGAACTATGTAACTACTTCATATCATATGAAGATATACTTATGTGGTATCCTAAATTGGAATGCAGTATCACATGACCGCATATCAGATGTATCAATGCTTTTCCACGCACAAGCTATATGCCGGCGTGGCAGATGAGTAAATAAAGGACTGTGCAATTGTTCCTTTCCTTGAACTGATAAAGTACTTATCATAACAATGTTACAGGCTAAAATTCAAATGTAATACCACTATGTAATGTTATGACCATGCATTAAATGTTCCGCAGTTTGCCCACGCCTGTGCAGTTAGCCAGGGTGGTAAATAAAGGACTAAACTAAATAATGATAATAATAGTAATAATAATAATAGTAATGATAATAGTAATAATAAAGATAATAATGATAACAATGATAATGATAATTAGATAATAATAATGATAATGATGATAACAATCATGATGATGGAAATAATGATAATAATCATGAAAATAATGATGATAATGATAATAATAATAGTAATAATAATGATAATAATAATAATAATAATAGTAATAATAATGATAATGATGATGAGGATGCTAATATTGTTGATAATAATAATAATGAAAAATAATGATAATAATAATAGTAATGATGATACCAATAAAAGTAATGATAATAACAATAATGATTATATTAATGATGAAATAGAAAAAAACAATTTGATGATAATAGTAATGCCAATAATGATAATGGTAATGGTAATAATAATAATGATATTGATAATGAAATTAATAATAACAATATTTGTAATAATTATTATTTTAATTATCATCATTATCATAATGATAATGATGATAATAATAATGATGGTAGTAATGATAATAATAATAATAATAATAACAATAATAATAATAATAATAATAACAATAATAATAATAATAATAATAATAATAATAATGATAATGATAATAATAATAATAATAATAATGATAATAATGATAATAACAATAATAATAATAATAATAATAATAATTATAATAATAATAATAACAATAACAATAATAATAATAATAATAATAATAATAATAATAATAATAATAATAATAATAATAATAATAATAATAATAATAATAATAATAATAATAATAACAACAACAACAACAACAATAATA